TTTTTCATATATTTATATATATTATATATATGTATATATGAAAAATATATGAAAATGCATGTGGGTAGTCAAATGAAAGGTCTTGATGAGTGTAACATTGAGATGAGCTTATATCTTTAAAAACGCCAATATTTAAGAAAGTACAGTGCAATTTAACAAAAGTATTTATTTAATAAAGCAAAATTTTATTTATTTATAGTTTACAAGTCACGACAGTTACATAGTGACTGCAAAGTTGTTAGTGTTATTATTATTATTATTTTGATTTGAAATTAATTATTATTACTTTCAATTTTTTTTAATGATAATAATAACAATTCTACCCTAACAATTATGAAAATAAAAATATTTAATTAAAAAAAAAAAAAAATAGGTCAAATAACTATCTAATCACAGTACTTATAGATAAATTAAAATAAATAATTACAATAAATTTTTTTGTTTACTCAGGTAAAGGAAAGCAAAACATATGCTCCTCATGCCTCTAGTCGTCTTCTCGACTTAATAGACACAGCGATCTTCGATTTTCTCCTTGATAATGGAGACCGTCATCACTACGAATTGATGCAGAACAATTTCCATAATCCGGTTGTATTATTAATAGATAATGGAAAAAGCTTGGCGAATCCCGACATCGATCATATCGACATACTGGCTCCGCTGTACCAGTGTTGCATGTAAGCCCGTCCGATTAATTTAAACTCCGTGTAATTAAATAATTAGACTCCTGGCAGTGGTTAATTGTACTACTTTCTACTCCGCTACTGGATAATCCACTTGTAGCTTGTCTTCATAATTGATTAATTAATACTCTAGAAAAATAAATTTTATAATATTTTTATTATTATTATTATTATTATCATCATTATTATTATAGGATTCATAAAACAACGTGGGATAGGCTGCAATTACTAGGCGGAGGAGCTTTAAGTGCTTCATTGAGGCAACTTCTAGCTCAAGAAGCCGTAGAGTCCGAGGTTCTTCCCCTCATAACTGAAGATTATCTCAGCGCTATGGATAGAAGATTACTTACAATCTATGCGGTCGTCGAGTACTGCTTAAAACTTAAAAAATATCCTTCTAATGTTATTTTAGATCATCGATGATTTTTCTATTCAAAAATTAATTTTTTTTTTTAAATTAATTTCATCACTGCCGTGTACAATATTTATCATTTTAAAGTTCGATATTTAAGTATTATAAATTATAAATGTGTAGAAATTTATTAATTATAAATATAGTTATCAGTTTAATAAATAAATTTTTAGTAAAAAAATTATACAATTCGTCTATAATTTTTTTTTTCCACCAGCTGAAAATTAATTAGGAATGTTTATATAAAAAAAAAAAAAAAAACACCAATAAACATTTATGAGATTTTTATTAATGACACAATTATTTCGGATAATTTTTTTTTTTTCGTGCAAAGTTTTACAAATACAATACAAACGTAAAAAATATTTCCAAATGCAGCTGTTGTCATATATATTCGTTAATTTACATTTACAGTCACATATGTATATCAATTCGATCATATTGCGTACATAAAAAACATTTACATTAATATTTAATAGATTTAAAAGTTACAAAAATTTATATATTCACTTTTTAAAAAATCTCAGCAGTTTATTATAATGAAATAGCGTTATTTTATTTTTATTATTATTAATTAATTAATTAATTATTTTTACATAAACGCACAACTATTGCAATTTAGCCGACTCACATACATAAAAAAGTTATTTTATTAATTATTTACTTGGATTTATTTACAACGAAAATAATGACCAGAATTACTCACGAGCTTACATAACTATTTTTCATTTATTTATTTATTGTATTAAATTTCAGATAATTTATATAAAATTCAGCGGCGTAGTCACATTTATTTTTTTATCAATAATATTATTTATATATTAACATTTAAATTAAATAAAAATTTTTTTTATCAATTAATTTAATTAATAAATTGTATCTGTATAAATATAATAAGAATCGTACAAATATTTACTGGTAAATTGTTGCTTTTACTATTTTATTTTTTAGTCAGATATATCACCAGTTATTGAACCTTTGATCGTTATTTATTAAATTATTAATATTATTATTTATAATAATTTATTAAATGTCGAGTTGATACTCTTGATTAATACTGTACTTGATTTTTTAAAAATTCATCACTTTCACCTCACATCGTCTGTCCTTCTTTGTAAAGACATCAATACATTTTATTTAATTGTTATTATTATAATTAAAATATATTGACACAAAATGTGATTTATTGCATTGTATACTGATGCTTTACATAAAAATTATCGCCATTATATTAGACCGCTTCTTCTCACTAAAAGTACGTATTTAAAAAGTGTTAAAAATTTGTAAATTTTTTTTAGCAAACTGGTAAAAATAATAATTTTATTTTTATTTAATAAAAAGCTTTTAATCAGCTGGCAAGTAACCTTATTGTAAAAATAATAATAATAATATTTATTATTATTTAAATTTTTATTGCCTCGGTATTTTTATTCCTTGTAAAAATATTAATTACGTAGGTGATTTATAGAGTGGACTCTACTCCTCGAGATGATGAAGTAAGATCTTCAGAGTGTCGAGTGTGAGAAGAATCTAGAGAAGTAACAGAATCGCTGTCGTTGCTGTGTGGACTTGAATAATTCGCGGCTTCCTGCAGTCTCATCAACATATTTAACTAAAACACAAATTTAGTCAATAAGTTCACTGTTTTATTATTATACGTACATTTATTTTTATTTATTTATAGATTTGCGTCAATATACAGAGAATCAAGGTCTGGTTATTGCGATGGTAAAAAATAATACATTCATTCATTAATATGGGTAATAAATTTAAATAAATGAAACGTCTGTGGTAGATAAAAAAATTTTGAACCAAGAAACTAATTTTATAAAAATTAATTTACCGGATATTTAATCATTTTTGTATAAAGTAATTATGACAAAAAAAAATTGACAAATTTTAAAAAAATTTTTAAATGCAATTTTTTAAAAACTAATTTTTTTGTTAAATAAAATTAAAAATTAGTCAAGTGAATGTTGACTTTAACGTCATAAAATTTTTATAATTCTAAAATATTTATTTTTATAAATTTTTTTTAGGTGTTTTTTAGCTGTGAGTTTATAAAAAGAATTTTTTTTAATTTAAAACACTTATTTTTGTTATCTTATCACATAACTTTTTTTTATAAATAAAAAAAAATATTATTTCATTATAAATTTAATAATTTTTAATTTCAAAACAATAAACATCAATAATAACAGAATAATTAAATCTTATATTTGATAGGTCTGTATAATACTGATGTTAGCTGACATGATTTTTAGAATTTTCAACAAATAAATAATTATAAAAAAAATGTTCATAAAAATATTCTACTTATAAATATATCAAAAAGTTATTATTGCAATTTTTTCAAAAATGTTTTTTTATTAATAGTTTATTATGAAAACTAAGTTATCCGACATCATAGAATTTTTAGATTTTTTGTATAATTATAATTTTATGTCAATGAAATTATATAATGAAAAAAATTCCACATGTGAAAATTAAAAAAAAAATAAAAGTGAAAATTTTTAGAAGCATTTTGATGACATTTAAGTTAGCAGTCACTAAACCATTTTTTAATTTTTTTTAACAAATAAATTTTTTCGAAAAAATTATTTAAAAATAATTGCATTTTTTATTTTCTTAAATTTCTACACGTCAATTTTTTTTCTACTTTTTATTTTTGCCATAATTTATTTGTTAAATATCTGCTAAATTAATTTTCATTGCATTTTGTTATAAAAAATAAAAGAAATTGACAGTTGTCAACTAACTTCACTATCATTGACAATATTAATTCCAAAAATTTACCAATGGATCTCCTTCAGTATCACTGTGCGCGCTGCCAAGACTCTTAACACTAGAAGCTCCAACTCCAGGATTATGCCCTGAATTAACGACATCATATCCAACTTCCTCGGGCCTCAACCTCATAAGATTATCACTTCCGCCATGAACAGCATGAGCCGAAACCCATGGGTAACTGGACACAATAAACTGAGTCGGATCCTCCCAGCCGCCATCAGTGTTCCCGTTTCCACTGGCCCGTCGTCCATACAACGTTAGCCCCTCTCTAACAGCCTCAGTCAGGTAAGGCATCACCGTATAATTCCACAGATCAGTGAACCAAACCTGAGAGCCAGCGACCTGCATCGGACAGGACAGGAACAACCTGGGACCAATGGTGACGTCCGAGCTGCTGTGTGTCTCCAGGAACTTGTTCAAGTGCAACCAGACCCTGGGGAGCCACTCAACAACAGCAGCCATCTCCGCGTTCCTGCAACCCTCTTCTCTGAGCTCGTGTTCCAGCAGCTTTCTGCGTAAGTACCTTCCCAGGAACCCTTTGACAGGTTCCATGTGGTTCGCACACAGCACCCATCGGAAGTTATGATGCAGTTGAAGGTTAGTGGTGCTGCAGGTCGCCTGGCTCATCGTTCCAATAATCGCTGGACAAGACAGGTGTCTAGTTCCCAAGAGTCCGCTGAACAATTCGCCCAAAGACGCAGCATGCTGCAAGTTCTCCAAAATAATAACTCTGGGAAGTTCATCAGCTGCGTTGGAGTCGCAGCGCTCAGCAATGTGCGCCAAGTACTGTCTCAACTCTTTGCTGGACTTGTGATCAACATTGAAAGTCGCTACAGCAGCTGCGTCTTTGTTTTCTCCATCAGAGTCAGAATCTACCAAAGCGTGGGCGAGTTTTCCTGCAAGGTAGCTTTTCCCAGTTCCGCTGGGCCCGCAGAGGATCACGCGACGGTGCTCTGTCAGGAGATTGATCAACCTCTGGACTATCGACCTAGGGATCAAGGTGTCGATTGCTAACCAAGAGTACCCACTGAGGACCAGGAAAATTGTCTTGACATGACCTATCAAGTACCCACAGGGCAGCAGCTCAGGATGTTGAGAGTCCGAAATGCACCTGGAGGCTTCTCCAAGGTGGTAAGAAGAGACACACTCAAATCCAAGTCCTAGGGTGGTCACTGGGTCCACTCGGGAGACGTACTCCTTGAAGCAGCGACGCACTGTCGAGTCCAGGGAGTCCCAGGTGGTCTTGTTGGAGATGCACACGCTCGCGATGACACAGTGAGGAGGCTCACTGCTAATTCCGTCGGTTAGCAGGTTCAGGTTGAAGCTATTCTCGCTGCCCAGGTACACTGCCACGTGGATACGCTTCCCGTCGGTTTCCTGCTCGATTACTGGTTCTGATGTTGTCGAGGGGTATGCTCTGGTGTTGGGAACTATCGGGTGTTCCGGAACCCCCAATTCTTCCAGTTGTTCCGATGAGTGATCGCCGTTAGAGAGCGCTGCTACGCTCGACACGACCTCTGTCAACGAGAACCGGCGTTCTGGGTCGCTAGGCAGGGATGATTGCGAGGAGGTTAGCGACTTTGAGGTTACTAGGCGCTGCAGTCGCTCGTTGTTCTGCTTCAGGTTCAGCATTTCGTTCTGGAATTTTTTTAATTGGTGAGGTTAGTTTTGTTGGAAGGATTTTTACTCGAGGTAATAACTGTTATAAGGAATTATCAAGCTCGAGTGGTTTAACTGGGTGTAATTTTATAGTTGATGGCATTGAGGAAGTTTTATAAGTGGATCTATTATTTAAATTTATTATTTAGTGATTTTTAAAATTTTTTGACCATGATAAATTGAAAAATATTTTTTTGATGCAGAATATTTAAGATTTTATTAATTGAAAATAAAAAAAAAATTTTAATTTCTTCATTGAAAATAGTGAAATTGATTTTACGACTTAAAATAAATGATGACTAATAAAAAAAAAAATAAAATTTCACTTCTTTCATTAAAATTCATGAAATGTAATCCGTTTTACGACTTTGAAATAATAATTATAAGAATAAAAAAAAAAATTATAATTTTTAAACCATAAATCTTTATAATTAAAAATTATTAAGCGTGTAATTAATTGATAAGCATAAAAATGTAAATATTTAATGCCGTTATTAAGCGAAAAAAAACATAATTTTCCCATCCTATCTACTAGAATATTAAATATCAATAAATAGACAAGCAAAGTTACTAAAAAAAAATAAATTTGAATTAATTAAAATTTATTTAAACAAAAAAAAAATTTTTTTTACTCAAGTCAAGACAATAAAATTTTTAAAAATAATTTTCAATTCGAATTAATTTTTTTTTTCTGCGCAAGAGGAATTAATTTATTAATAATAAAACTATAAATAATACTAACGCGCATCTTAATAACAGTATCCTTGAGTGACTCCAATTGATGAGCAGAAGACAAAGCCTCGAGCCTGATGTCTGTGAGCACCATGTCCTTTTCTCTTAATTGTTTCTTGAGCTCATCAACGTCTTCATCTTCTTTGGCATTGTCCTTCTTGTAGAGCACGGAGCTGCTTTTGCTGGCAGACAGGGCGTTCTCATGCTCCGGTGATTTTTGCTGTCCGTTCACCTTCTGTCCTTGATTGTCGTGATTATTTTTGTCGTGCTTGACCGCCGTGGGCAATCGAGGACTGTTGGGGGCGCTGAGTTCTCCGGGAATCCGCGGAACGGCGGAGTCCTTGCAGTCCTCCGCGTCGGAGACCGAGCCGTGGCGATTTTTCCGTGACCTAGAGAACGCCTTGGAGAAGGAGCTGCGGAGCCAGCCTTTCTTTTTGTGGTGGCTGCTCACCGAACACGCGCTGCTTAAGGAGTTTAGAGAAGTCACGCTGTCTGCCGATAGCTGCCGAGCCATTGATGAGCCCTGATGGTTGCTGAAACCGGTGCAGCCCGTCGACCCTGAGTCTGAGTCTCCTAAGGTATGTCTTCGTCCGCTCGGTGATGTACCGTTGTTCAGGCCTGCCTCGGCACTTTGCTTTCGTAGGCGCTCTATTGTGTCCCGCAGTTCTTGCAGCTCCGAGTCCTGGAAATTTTATTTTTTTTTATTATCAATTTTTAATATTTATTTAAAATTATGAGTTTTTTTTCTTAAATAATTTTGTTAATTTTTAATTAAATAAATTTAGATAATTATTAATTTTTGAATTAAAAAATTAAACTTAATAATTTTTTTATTTAAAATACTTTTTTAGTTTTAAAATAAAATTTTAAAACAAAATTGAATTTATTTTTAATAATAAATAAATAAAATTTAAATAATTAATTTTAAATATATTATTAAAAAAGACAGTAAAAATTTTCATAAGTTTTTAAATAATTTCTTAATTTTTGAATAATATTTATGTAAAAATAAATTAAATATAAATCTTTAATAATAAGAGATAGGTATTTTTATATTTTTTATTTAGATGCCTAAATTTAGTTAAAAAAAAAAAAAAAAAAAAAGTTTCAAACTAAAAACGCTCTTTAAATAAAGTAGCAATTAAATAAAACTAAAAAATAAAATTCATTTTTAAAGCGCGAGTAAATATTTGTAATTTGCAGTTAATGATAATGATAACGATAAAGTCTCTTAAAAAAAATAAAACAGAGCATTTATTGATCCAAGAAAAGATAAAGTGTCTTTTAAACGAGACTGAGGTCTTGTATATATTATATATTACATATTAATATTAATTTAAAAAATAATGAGGAAGATGATACAAGGGTGTTGTATATTTATAAACTTCGCGAAGATTAAAATTGTTAATTTTATTGGCACATGTTTATGTTTATCGGGTAGTCATTACTACAAGCCTGTGATGTTTAAGCCAAACAAGTTTGTATGCCAGCAGGTGCAGACTATTTTATATTTGGCGAATTCATGGATAATATATTACATGTATTTCATGTAATATCCTAAACGGGCTTCAAGCATTTAGTAAATTGATGTACATACTAAAGCAAGTACAAATCTGTTTCTATTTGTATACTATGTTTGACTACTAATTAGAGCTTTGTCAATATTGCAGTTTAATTATCCTTTGTAATTGTTTGACTAGTATTTAGAAGGAAAATTAAGTTTTTATAATTTTTTATAGCAAAATTTTTAGGGCTTTTTTTTATTTAAAAAGAAAATTCGTGAAAATATTTTAAAATAAACTTATTCATCCTTAAAATATCGATAATAATAACTAGCAACCTCGCAGTCACTATGTGACTGCCGTGACTTGTGAACTATAAATATATAAAATTTTGTTTTTTTTAATAATGGCTTTTGTTAAAACGCACTGTACTTTTTTAACTATTGACGTTTTTAAAGATATAAGCTCATTCCGATGTTACACTTATCAAGAGCTTTCATTTGAGTACCCACATGCATTTTGATATGTTTTTCATATATACATATACATAATATATATAAATATATGAAAAATTGATGTGGGTACTCAAATGAAAGGTCTCGATAAGTGTAATGTCGGGATGAGCTTATATCTTTAAAAATGTCAATAGTTCATAAGATACAAGGTCATTTCTTAATTATGTTAAATTGCACTGCACTTTCTTAAATATTGACATTTTTAAAGATATAAGCTCATCCCGATGTTACACTAATCACGAACTTTCATTTGAGTACCCACATGCATTTTGATATATTTTTCATATATACATATACATAATATATATAAATATATGAAAAATTGATGTGGGTACTCAAATGAAAGGTCTCGATGAGTGTAACATCGGGGTGAGCTTATATTTTTAAAAATGTCAATAATTCACAAGATACAAGTTCATTTCTTAATTATGTGTCTAGAGATAGAGTATTTTCGAATGCAGCCTTAATACTTATCATAATAAATTGAATATCGGTGAGAATAATATGAAACCTTGAAAAGACACAAATTACTAATAACTTGCAACCTTGCAGTCACTATGTGACTGCCGTGACTTGTGGACGATAAATAAATAAAATTTTGCTTTATTAAATAATAACTTTTGTTAAATTGCACTATACTTTCTTAAATATTGACGTTTTTAAAGATATAAGCTTTTCCCGATGTTACACTCATCAAGAGCTTTCATTTGAATACCCACATGCATTTTCATATATTTTTCATATATACATATATATAATACATATAAATATATGAAAAATTGATGTGGGTACTCAAATGAAAGGTCTCGATGACTGTAACATCGGGATGAGCTTATATCTTAAAAAATGTCAATAATTCACAAGATACAAGGTCATTTCTTAATTATGTATCTAAAGATAGAATATTTTCGAATGCAGCCTAAATAGTTATCATAATAAATTGACTATCGGTGAGAATGAAATAAAACCTTGAAAAGGCAAAAATTCAAGTCAAAACCCGTGCAATGACACTAAACTTCACTAAAAAAACCGATTTTATCATATGACTATCCTGGATACAAAATTTTTCTTATTCTCTTAATAATATAGATAATAAAATTTTTGAAATATTGTTATTATTATTTATAAAAAAATTAACAACAATATTAACGAATTTTGAAGTCAAAATAATAATAATAATAATTTTTTTGTTAAATATTAATACAAAAGTAAAGTCTAGTTTAATAATTAAATTTACTGATCAATTTTAATGATAAAAAAAAATAAATCAAAATTAAAAGTTGATACAGATTGAAGCATAAAATGAATAAAAATGACTTAGAGAGTTTGTTTCTATTTTATTATTATTATTGTTATATTAGATTTTCCCCTAAAAATTATAACGGCTTGTATCGGTAGAGTTGAGTCTAACAGTTTGTTTAAAAAAAAAAAAAAACAAATATCTAGTCCCACGAGCGGCATGTAACCCATGAATCCGTGACTTAGTCCTGCCACAATGAACACAATACAGAACCGGAAATTACATTACTAAGCTTTTTAAAAATTAACTCACCTTTTTCTCGGCGGTCGCTGTGAGCTGCTGGAGCCTTTGGGTCATGTTCGACAGGGACTGCTCGAAGGCTGATACGACGTGGGCCTGCAACAAAAATATACCGTCCATTCAGAAAAAATACATTACAATTTACAATCCCCATGTGCCAAGCTAGACTTTACGGGTCCATTCTCTCGATAGATTCTAATTATTCCACTTTCTCATTCTCATTATCCATTATATTATTTATTACTTAATATTAACAAATGATATAATTTGTAGATTACAAAATTAATTGCATATACTTAAGGCCTTTTCTCAATAAATTATACAATCGATAGTATTTAACTACTGTATCATTATTGAGAAATTTCTCAGATAAAGTTTTTTTATTCTATTAAAATTATTGTGCGTAGGATAATTTTTTTCTGTAATGTAAATTTGAAAAAAAACATTTAGATGTTACCTAATACATTGAAGGACAATAAATGAATAATTTTAATCAGTATTTAAAGATGTTAATGAATAAAAATTTTAAAAATTTTTTTGAACCAACAAATATTTTTTTTTCTAAAAATTTATTAAAAAATTTTTTTTTCTATTAAAAATACTAATTTTTTCAATAAAAATTTTTTTTTCCCAAAAACTCAAAATTTTGAGCAGGAAAATTTTTTTTTAAGAAATAAAAAAATAAATAATTAACATTAAAAAATTTTTTGTTTAATTTTAATTATTTATTTTTTCACAAAAAATATGGAATAAAATCTAAAAGCTGTTAAAGTTATTTTATCATCAATTTTTTGCAGATAATAAATTTTTTTTACTGTTCAAAGCTTCAAAACTGATTAAAAATTAATTTCTACAATTATTTCCATAATAATACCAATAAAATATATATGAAACAGAATAATTAAAAAAATAATGTAAATTCTTCGCTTAAAAAATTGAATTATCCATCAAACTTGATCAAAATTCAATCTTCTAACTTTAATTTTAAAACTTCCCGCTCCTTTGCCTTTAAAAACGTCATTTTCAACTAGTCAAAAAACTCCGCCATTTCTCGAGACTCAATCCAACAAAATAACATTAATAATTCATCAAATAAAATAAAAATCGTTTAATAGTTCTAAAAACCTTAGCTTGATAAAATATCAGCCGGCAATTGATCTCCGACCTTGACAACCGAAAAAAAAAACCAAAAAGACAGATCTAACGGTTCGAGTCGTGTGGGTCGCCTTCTGGGTCAGTTTGCGCCTACACGACCACAAGATAGCAAGAGCCTGGTCGAACAAAACTAAAATAACGATAACAGGAATCGAGCGAAAAAAAAAGACAAGTTAAAAGTTAATAATTAAATGTCAAGCGATATCTCGACTAGAGATGATCATCTGAACTCTGGCGATAGTGAATTAACAATTTTAAACAAGTAATAGACAGACACTATATTCTTCTTTACTCGGAAGAGAAAGAGTTAAATAAACCCGTATAAATTTAAATCCAAAGATTGGGCTGTTGAATAATTTATCTAGGTTTAAAAGCCATTTTTAATATACTTGTAATACATTTAAATGAGGATGCCAGTACCTACACCAGTGGCGTTCCTATTACCCAGCCTTGCTCTTGGAATCAGTACAGCTCTTGTTTGAAGAGTTACCAATTTATCTTCCGACTTGGCTGATAAAAAATATCACGTGAGATAAAACAATCTCCGGGTCTTACAGACTTAGTTGAGTGAAGCTAAATAAAAGCGCAGTCCTAAAATTACGGGGAGGATTTGTTTAAGGATTTAAAATACCATTAATTTATGGTATCAGTCTCATGCCAGACTACATAACACGTACACGTACACTCGAGATTACATATATTTAGCTTTTAAATAAATCAAAAAAAGTTCCGTTTTATTCTACGGAATTCCATGAGTATGACTGACGGGTTTATCCGATTCGTTCTTTATCGTCTTCTCGGCAATAATTTGCGGTACTCTACTTCGCGAGTATCAAGTACTCGTGGTCAGTATATATTTATATATACTTTTGATATGGAGTACTAAGTACGCGAGGATTGCTTCAGAAGTATCAAAGTAATTATACGGCGTGTCGAGTTTCGGATAATTGCGAGCCTTAACTTCTTCCATTGGAAGGTTTATTCAAATATAAATAAATGTTATTGTAAACACTGAGTTGAACGTGCAAGCTGAATCAAAGGTGCTGCGGACGGAAATTCATGCGACGCAACAACGCATGACAATACCTTCTACGTAATTATAATAATAATGAGGAAACATTATTCTTCTTTGTATGTCCAGTTTTTAGATTTAACAATTCGCTTGTAGGGTTTTGAATATTCAAAATATTTTTTTGTTGTTAAGGATAAGATTTATGGATTGGGGTATAAGTAAGAATCAGTTCGCACGGCTTAGGCGGGAAGAATATAAATTAGTTTTAAATGTTGCAAAGATGAAGAAATTTTTTTTAAATGTTGCAAAGATGAAAAAATTGAAGAAAATTAAAATTTTAAAAGGTTTTTGTTAGTTTGGGGAAAAGGAATAATAGTTTAGGTAAAAAAATTTTTTTTGTATTTATTTAAAGTTCTGAAAGATGGCGCCAGTGGTTAAATTCTTTCACTGTAGTTGAAAATGACGTTTTAAAAGTTAAAAAAGCGGGAATTTTTAATTCATTAAATTTTTTCGCTATAATAAATATGAAAATTAACAGAAAATAAATTTTTTGATTAGTTTTAAAGTTTTTAACGTTAAAAAAAAAATTATTAATTGTTTCTACTTTAATTAAAATTTTTTTTCTGACATTTACGTTTAAAATTAATATATTAAGAAGCAAAAAAAATTTTTATTTTTTCTTCTGGTTATTTTATATTTAATGAACTTTAAAAAAAAATTGTAATTGTTAAATATTATTTTTATGAGTTTAAATATTGTGACCCATAAAACTAAACAATTACCGACTAAAATAAGACAAGAATAATTTTTAATTAGTCTGTTATTCAATATCGACTTAATTTTTAATCGTCCAGTTAATTGACCAATGAAAGTGTCTATGTCGATGGTCACATACTAGATAACTAAGCAAATAAAAATGTAGGTAAACAAAATAAAAAAAGGTCTCGGCTGTAACTGTAATTATCGTTACATAATTTTGTTAGAAGCATTGAAGCCCACGGAGCACGAATGGACATCTGATCGGACATGTTATAGTTGTAATGTGGTTATAAATAATGGATGTATTTTGAGAGAACGAATCTGTGACCTGGATACCTGGCCGCTGCGGAAGTATTAACTAATCGGATAAATATCCGGTGATTTACTCCCACGCGAAACGCTGTTCGATAGATATCTATCTCTCCTATTACTATCCCATTAATCGAAGGTTTCTATCCCATCGATATCAATACTGTTATTTTAAATAATGTTACACTCCATTCACAATATAAATATAAATGTAAGCATAAACATATATGAAACTTAATAAATTAATGCGAGTCGATCACGATTTAAATGTTTTATTTATTACGTTCATTTTATTTAACCTTTTGGTAGTTGGACTGCAATTTATAATAATTGTTACTTGTCATTTACTTTTGTAATTATTATTTCATTTTTTATTAATTTTTTTTACAATTATTTCTAATAAATTGTTTTTTTTTTTTGCAAAAATTCTATTTATTTTTAAAATAAATAAATTATTTCTTGTAAAAATGATTAATTATAAATTTTTTCAATTGCTTTGAAAAAATTGATGTTATTAAAAATAATCACTACTTTAAATGATATAAATTTTTTTTTATAATTTACTAAATAAATATTTTTTAATTTTTCATCCCCAACTTTTAAATATTTTTATAAAAATTCAAAATTTATCTTGTTAAAAAACAAAAAACAAATCTTAATGTTTAAATTTATCAATTCAATAACAAAAAAATAATAAAATTATCAATTATATAATAAACTCTCTAAAAAATATAATTTAATTACAGAAGCATATGTTTTCTCAATTTGTTAATTTTATTTTTTAGTTCAATTAAACACAAACAATTTTTTAATCCTACCGAGTATTTAAATGTTTTATTCATCTGGCAAACTTAACGTCAGACAAAAAATGTAAAATAAATGCTAAGACTAAACAGCTTTAAACCGAACACAAGTAAACTCTTGTCTCTCAGCTTCCGTACAAGCTATACGGTCAAGAATCATGTCATGTTTTTGCCACTGACTTCCAGGTCGCAGTCATCGTCTTTTTATTACGGTACGCCCTCGAATAAACCGACTCGACTCGACATATATAATAATGTTACTTCAAATCAAATATACATACATTTTATATGACTGAGAACTTAATATCCACATCAACATCAACATTAGCATAAAAAAATAACTTTAAAAAATGAAGAAATCAATTTTGTACTGAAAAAAAATTAACTTTAAATAAAATTTACTTTAATTTCTCAATTAATTTTTTTTTACTAAAATTGAAATAATAAAATTATTTTTTCAATTCAAATTAATTTATTTTTTATATAAATTTTAGTTTAATTATTTAAACAAGTTTAAAATAAAAATTATATTATTTAGCATTTAATTGCTACTGGTTAGACAACAATTTATATAATTATTAAATAATTATTCATAATTAATATTAAATAAAAATCTAATAATTAAATCCTTGAATTTTTTTTACTCTTGGATGCGTCGCGAATTAAGTGGAGTAACAGTTGGTAAATACTGGTGTCTCTTTTGGATCCCGGGACTTTCACTGGGTCTTACTTCGTCTTTGGTTGCTCGTTAAATCTTAAAGGTGCAATGTATAGTAATATTCTTATATTGGGTGAAATATAATATTAAACGTCACGGTTGTCGAGTGTGTAAAAGCGATTATTCTCTTGATAGCCAGCGCCATACTTTGAGGATAAGTATTATAAGCAGGGCTTATGTGTAATATAATGTATTTAGATTTTAACGGAGAAACTTTAGTGTAATGTAATATTTTATGGGTAATCATTAATAATATAATAATAAGTTACTTGTAAATTGAAGCTCGCTTATATTAATTTTACGCAACGCACTAACATTTAATATCGTATCAATCGGATAAAATAACAAAGCCCGTGAATTTAATGGACAGGTGGCAGCGTTGATACAGCTGGAATTATTTTTCTTGGCAGGTTACTACCAAAAAAATTATTTACTTATAGTGTCGCTTGCTGACCGGTTAAAAACCGCTGAATTTCTGCCCTCAGCTGCTATAAATTGACTGATTTATTTATTTGTAATTTATTATTTTTTGGATTAATTAGAATTATTTTTGTACTGATGAGTTTTTAATTCAAAATTGTTGCCTAATTTAATTGGTAGCAAGATTGAAGCGGTTGCAGTAAGATAAGTAGTTTTTATTTAAGGGAATTCAGTTCATTAATTGGTGAATTGAAATCAATTGTAGAAATAGATAGTTTATTATTGGTCCATTGAATAAGTGATTTATCTTTTGTTCTAGCGAGAAATTAGCTGGAAAATTGTAACATTTTTATAAGAAACCGGAAACTTGTAGTTATTAAAGATAGGAATCTTGAACTGAAGGCAGTAATTTTTTTCTATTGTTTACTGTTATTAGAGTAAGTGAACTATTTTTTCGTGTAAAATTTTTTATCAGATATTTTTAATAAAATAATTATGCTATTGTAGAAAATGTTTTGAAATTTAAGTTTAGTAATATAAAATTAACAATAATAATAATAAAAATAAATTTTTCCGACATTATCATTATTATTAAAAAAATGTAAAAATAATAATAATAAAATTTGAAGCCATTATTATTATTATTATTATTATTATTATCATTATTATTATTATTATTATTATTATTAATTATTTTCCGAAGATCAGTGTTTTCACTAAATAAAGAGTTCCATTTTTCAAAGCCATTATCCCCGTTCCAAATTGATATTATACTAATTTTAATTTTTACATTAAATTTTTATTTATTGAATTTTATTTTCACCACTTTCGGTATGAGCACTCAATACCATCTTCGGATGAATATATCTAATAATTAAAAATTTTTTATTTTCAATTAAGATTAAGTAAAGAAGTTAATTTTTTTACTCAGTGAATCTCTTTTCGGTTACTGAAAAAATATTTATTATTATTAAACCGAAAAAAAAATTAACTTGAATCAAGAGAAAAATTCTTGAACCAAGAAAATAATTTTGAAGAGTTTTATTGTCTTGAATCAAGATAAAAAATTCTCGAATTAAGTAAAATTTATTTAAACCAAGAAAAATTTCTTAGTTTCAGAAATTTTCTATCCAAATCAAGAATTTGAAATCCTTCAAAATTATTTACTTGATTCAAGTAAATTTTTTTTCTGTGTATTAAAAGTCATAATAATAAATTTTAAGTCAAAATAATAATAATAATAATAATAATAATAATAATTAAAGCAAAGTAAGTGTCAAGCACGTCTAATTATTCAATCGAGTCTTGCCTACGCTTTCATTGGTAACATAACTATACAACATTACATATAATATAACATTATACAAACGGCTCGTCATTCTTCGCATTTACTCTTGACATTTTAATATCTATAAATATATATATATATATATTTATACATTCACATATATATACTAAAAATAATTATTATTTGACATACGTCCTGTTATAATTCTTAATAAAAAACGAAATTGTCTATTTAAATAAATCGAGTCATTAATGATATTTATATAATGTAATTCAAGTGAGCAAAAATCTCTGTCATTACAACCACAATAATGATAATAATAAAAATAATCATTATTACTATTGCTATAACTATTAATCTTTGAACTTTAACACCGCATTGTAAAAATAAAACTCCAACTTTAACTCACAGAGTGACATTAAGTGACAATTTACCTGCAAGGAGGGACAGCTACGGTGTCGATATTTCCTGGTGGCGAGTTCCCACCACGGTATCACATTTTCACATTGCCTAGGCTTAACAGGATTGCTCACCGCGTGTTCATAAAGTGGTTCTAGCACGGGCACAGTTCCGGACAATCTTCTAGCCAGCAAAAAATCCCTCTCTTTGCCATTGCAAATACTATTATTATTGCCAGTGGTCGAGGAGCCAGCCGACGAAACAGAAGACGCCGAAATTAAGGACGACGAAGAAGTGTTACCTCTTCTAGGTAACGTCGCAAACCCTTGACAAATTGCCACGGACTCATCAGCCTCCAACGAATTGTGTCTAGTCCTCAAAGTCCCACAATTTTCCTTAAAGTCCAAATTATTCTGCAAAATAACATCAGTCGCATCCAGCAAATAGTTCCCGAGGATTTCGTTCCTGACATCAACTGTGCTAAAGCTCCTGGTCGCATAATCCCGCTCACTATCCTCCATCTTGTCGGTAACGTCATCCACCGCTCTAACCTTGCGACATCTTGCCGGTAACGTCTCGTACCTTCTTTGCCGACTGCAATCCTCTTGACAAGTTCCACATCCATTTTCTCTCTTGATTCTCCTTTCAGGCAATCGATTCGACAGCCTTTTGATGTTCCTTTTGTCAAGAGTTGAACAGTCGAACCGATCTTTAAGAACGGCTTCCGCGTCAAAAGACTTTGATAGAAGACGACGTCTATTTGCGGACGGTGATCTCATCACAACTTTGTTATTGTTGAGCAACTGAAAATTACCGCCATTAATGACACTATTATTATTAGAACTATTAAAGCCTTCGCTTATGGCATAAAGAGACTCCGTCGACTTGGTGGAGCAAGTGGCGGTAGACGTCGAGCCAGTTGAGTGTCTATTAGTGTTGTCGATTGACGAAGAACGCGGCAGTAATTTTGGCGGAAGCTTTCCCAAAGAATTCGGACGAACAATCTGGCTGAGCTTATTCTCGTCTTCACCGAAGTCTGGGCTAATTGGAGGCATGGGGGCCATGTTTCTCTTCCTGGCGAGGCTGTAAAGGTTTTCCTGATCTTGGACGTCTGATTTTGTCCGAATCACTCCGTAACCTGATGTGTAGCCGAATTCTTCGTAGCTTTTGTCTATTTCGGCGATGTTCTTGTTTATGTCTTCAATGTACTTGGCAGTGGTGCGATACAAGTCGCCACTTGGAACGTAGTTGCTGTCAATGGTGGGCTTTGGGTCCTTTGGCTTTGGAATTGGATTTGGAATCGCATAAATTGGAATTTGCTTCGGCTGGCTCCGTCTTTTTGGCTTTTCCTTCTCTCTTTTCTGGACCTTGGGAGGCGAATCGGGAGCGACGGGGTCGTAGAAGTTCTCGATCAGTTTCTTCGGGGAAGATTCTGAAGAGTTGATTGATTCTAAAGGTATAGAATCGTAAAGTCTGTCGTCTGAAGGCTTTTGCTTGGCAAAAGTGTTGAAGACTTTCGACTCTTGGGAATTTACGTCGGAGGCTCTTTGCCGGAGGGTGCCGTAGTTCTCCAGCAACCTTTTGCTGCAAGAATTCCCTTCGGACCATCGTGGGACCTGATGGATCTGGGGGATGTCTGAAACTACGGCCAGGGCGTACGGTGTTACGTCTTTTATAAACTCTTCGGAGTCTGATCGATAGACCGCTCTAGGTCTGCTTCTTGGTCTTCTGATTGTTGCATAACCGTCGTGGACTCGGCGAGAGCACACATTTATATCCATGGTTGTGGCACTTGGGGCGTTTTCAAGAATAAGTCATTGTGGTTTTTGGAAATGGGTAGTCCAAAATCCTGGAAATAAGGCGGTTAGACATTGTTGGCTCAAAGATTTGGGATTTTTATTTGAAATTTATATTTTTTTTGGTGATAATCGATGTTTTTTTGGAAATTAATAAATAGATTGAAGTTTGGTTAAAAGATTAGGTTTTTAATTAACTTTTGTACCAGGAAATTATTTTTTAAAATTAATAATTCTTCAGACATTCATTTTTGTAATTAGAAACTTTTTAGACAAAAAATGCACGTTTTTTAACATTTTCTATCAATTTTAATTGTTCATAACTTTTAAACTAATTAAAATTAAAAAACCGGCTAAAGTTTTTCGAAATAAAGAGACTTGTAGCTACAATTTTTGTATGAAACATTTTTTTATCAAACTCACAGTTTCTGAGATATTAATTTTTAAAGCTAGAAACTCTTATGTTAAAAAATGCATTTCAAAATTTTTTTCTTGACTTTAATAGCTCATAACTTTTAAAATAATCAAGATTAAGAAACCGGGTGAAATTTTTATGAAAGAAGAGACTTGTAGCTACAATTTTTGTATAAACAATTTTACCATCAAACTTATAGTTACAAATATATTTAGTATTGAAGATTCATATTATTCAAACTTTCATTTTTTTTTTACAATTTTTATGGATCGTTAAATAAAAATAAAAATTTTCTTTTTTTAAAATCGATATTTTCTCGAGTTATTTTAGTTATCCTTCAAATATAATGAACCGGAAAATTCACAAGAAAACATAAAATCTAACATACCTTACTTCTAAGAATTCTGACGCGTAAGCCATAAAATTCTAATCTAATATTTGAAGAATAAGTTATATAATTCTATTAAGAAACAACTTGTTAAAAAAAATTCTTTTTTAACTTTGTCAACGCTCTATATATACCTTTAACTTCGTCACTAAAATATGTTAATACTCCTTTAAAAGTATTTCTTAATAATAAACGCATAGAACATTCAGATCCCACTTTTATCTTCTTCATCTCAGTGACCTATTTGTTTCTTCGAAAAATCAAAAACAAATTTTAATTAGTCCTGACATTATCTCAAAAAATAAATTTCTCAATAAAATGATTGATAATCAAATTTACTTAATTAACTTTTTATTTCACGGTAAATTAAATATGCAAATGACGATAAATCCGTTAACAAAAATTAAAACTTCTATTTAATTAAAATTAATACGTCAAAAAAAAAATATATAAATTACAATAAATATCCAATTCAATATTTTTAATTTTCCATAAAAAATAAAATAAAATAATTTGAATAATTCAACACTCGATATTAACTCAACAAAAAAATCCAAACAAAACACACACATGAGGCATGTTTTTGACTAGTTATCACACTGATAAGACCAAAGAAGCACCGAGCGCAACCTCTTGCTTAACAAACTAAATGAATATTAAAATTACTTATCATCCCAAGATTAGCTTAAAATAGTAATTTATATATTTTGAAACTCCTAAAAAGTAAAATAAAAAAATAAAAAAAAGAATATATTTCCTCGTGACCCAGATCGACCTGACCAAGTTCGAGAACTCGTTATCGGAGCTCGACCGAGGCTATTTTATTAAATTCAATGCTTTTACTACTCACTACTCACTAGTAAACCTTCCATACATATTCTTATTCTTATATATAATATATAAAGGGAAAAGAAAGAATCGTATGCACTGTGCGTAACGTGATTCCCAGATAAAAGCCGTACATATATAAATATACAGTTTTAGTTAAAGTTCCCCTAAGTTAAGTTTTATCATTGTTATTTATTTATCAGGTTTAAATAAAAGTTAATGACGCATTTGATTGCAAGGTGAAAGGAATAACTGAATATGAATCGACGGAATATAATTATTAATTTATAACAATGCGCGGTGGAGAACATTGTAAATTTGAATATAAATAGCCCTGAAGGAGAGCCAAGAAGAATTCAGATAATTGTTGTATTATTGGTATTGTAAACATACGAACAAATGTGTGGTATTGACAAACAAGTTTGAATGTTGAGGTCTGAAGTCTGTAGCCGTAATGGGGGTCGACTACCCAGGAAATATGTCGTCTTATAGTTGGCTCTTGGGTATAGGTAATGGTAATAATACCGAGGTATGTCGTCTCCTTACAGTCTTGCTCTTTAAAGCAGTAATAAAGAGGAGTTTGAGGATCGCGCTGAAAGAAACGTTAGCTTGTGGACTTAACTGGGATGAAATGTTTCTTCACTGGAGGTATATCAGATCTGAGGATGGGTGGGAGATTTATCAAGAAGGAGAATAGATCCCGCAAGAAAGGTACCAAGGTATCTTCTATATCTTTTATTGGTGATCCTCGGCTATATTGCTATGTGATGCTATACGGGATATTGGTTACTGACATTATATACGAGATCGAGTTTTATACCACCCTCCGGATTATCCGAATAAGGCACTTCAAAGTTATCTCCAGTTCTGTCTAGATGTCTAGTGCTCGAGGTCTTGATCGAATTTAATATGCCGGTTTGATTCGCTTCTGATGTTTCAATTTGTGGAAGTTTTAAATGGGGGATTTGTTGGGCTAGGAATTTTTAAGCCGAAAGTTTATGAAGCTTTAATTTTAAAGGAGATTATTAAAATTGAGAAATAAATTATGGAAATTTAATTAATTTTAATTTCGAGGAAATTATTATATTTTTAATTAAATTGTAGAATAGAATGTTTAAATTTTAATAAATAATTAAATTTGATTAATACAATTCGGGAATATATATTTATAAATAACAAAAATTTTAAATAAATAAAAACAGAAGGTTAAATTTTGACCAACATGATAAAATTAGAAACTAAAGTTTTGAACTAAATAAAAAAAAATTAAATAAAATTTTTAATTAAATGATAAAATTTTGAATTTAAAAGAAAAAAAATATTATACATTTTTTAAAAAATTTAATTTTCAATAAAGAAGACCCTCATTAATTTTATCTAATCTCTCATTCATCGTATCGCCCAAAATTATAATTTCAAATTACACATATTATGTAACTTAATTACCGATTGCTATACTAAAAATCTGACATTGACCGAAAGAATCCTCACCCACCCAATAACCATCGATCCGAATCTAATCACCAGACCAATAATGTAAATTGAAATAAATTACCAGTTATATTGCAAACGACCTCTAACTTTACAGTTATGTTTATAACCTCTGGAACTATGATTATGACGCAACATCAAAGGTTATTTTTGTAGATGACACCTGCTTATTACACATCGAGCACGGACAATGTGCATATAGTTATTAACATTTATAAATCTCTCAATATACCACTTAATACTTAACAATGATACAAAGTGATCTTGGACCGGGAATAAGAGATTGAAATTATCGGAGCTTCTATATTTAACGATTAGCTAATATGGTGATTCAACTTTTGATAGCAAGAGTGTTCATTAAATCCGTCTAGACGCCATAAGCCTCTGTTCATAATGAACAAGATGAAGCTCCTTTTACTCCCATCTAAATATCAAGTACATGTATTTATCGATTATGATATCATGAAGATGAAGACTTAATTCCTCCTTATGGAAAATTAAGCAATCGCTCGCGATACTGATTACAATTGCGATTTCAACTGGACTTATTTTTAGCTCAAGATAAGAATAGTCTTAGTGTAGCTTAATAAGAATACGAATACAAATACATAAAGATAAATAATCCAAGTGGCGCATCCGCTTTCTGCTGACACGGTTATTCGGTTACTCGCTATTTTGTATTCTAAGCCCGAGAATATAAGACTATACCGATCTAGGTAAACAACTGAATAGAATGAAATACTTTCTCACATGATTTTATCGTCGGGAATTTTATTATGTTGCATTATATTAGGAGGAATAATATAAGATTTTTAAATTTAAGATTGGGGTTGGAAGCAAGTTAAAATTATTTTTAAAAGTTTGATACACGGAAAGAACAAGATGACACTGGATATCATCCCAGATTATACTCAGTGATATCTGTGGTGAAAGAAAATTTCATATAGTTGCTAAAAAAAAAAATCCAGATTATACTGCGTGATATCTGGATTATACTCATTATAATCTGGATTACACTCATTGTAATATGAATTATACTCATTGTAATCTGGATTATATTAGATAATATCTGACATTTTTTTCACTCAGTATAATTTGGGATGATATCCAGTGTCATCTGGTTTTTTCCGTGTAGACTTGAAAAAAAATTATAATAATAATAATAATAATAATGTGCACAAAAAAAGACTTATTTAAGAATTATCAAGAAAACTAATGAGAAATATTAAAATAAGTAAAATTTTATTTTGTTTAAGATAATTATTGTTATAAATATTTTTTTTTAGTTAAAAAATTTAATTATCTACTAAAGAATTAATTTTTATATATATCAAAGAATAAAAAAAAAATTTGAAGATTTTGTTGTGAAAGTTAAGTGCGGCTGTTCTACCTAAGGCGTGCGAAAAAATGATCGTAGGGCTGGATAAATGTTTGCTTGAATGCGGGTACTTTAATCAAAAATATATATCCATCAGACAGATTTATATTTTCTGTGGATAATATATAAATATGAGAGAGTGAATTAAGGTAAAAAAAGGGGAGAGGGTGACGAATACAAAAGTAAATTGCGCATAATGTTGAGTGAGGAAAAGAGGAAATAGATGGTTTTTCGCCTACAGGCTATATGTAAGTATGAAAGAAAAAGAGTTAGTTTCTTAAAGTAGTATTCCTAAAGCATCGGTTATAATAGCGTATGTTATGGCCATAAAACCCCATGAGACAAGAAGATAGGCGAGGAAAACTTGGAATCGTGCTGATGATAATTAACCAGCACCTTCTATATACTTGTTGTTAGCTGGATTTCTTCAGGTACCGTTTATCGTTTTACGCGCCGCACTTTATTACCGTGAATCTTTTCAACGC